ATCATTTTACTATGGAAATAAAAAAGTAGCTGCATAGCAGCAAGTCAACAGTGTTTGGTGTGACACAGTCTGAGTCAAAAAACAGTTGCATTTGTGGTTGGGATAAAAGCCCATCAAATTTTGCTGCCATTGGAATGTAACAAGAGCAGAGTTGGAGCAATCGCAGCTGTAATCTCTACAGGAGCTAAATTTGAAAGTCCTGTTCTTTAAGCCTTGCATTGTTTCATCTGCTTCAGTTCTTTTTGTGGAAAGATTTGTCATTTATATCTTTGGGTGATTTTAACTGTCTCTTGGCTTTGGTTACCTGGTATAAATCACTTAACAAGTAGCAATACAGATAGAAATTCTGACTTTTAATATAATTATGGTAATCACCTGTTGTATGGTCTCCTAGCAAAGGCATCAGATTAATAAATGCCAATGGGGATGGCTTGGAAAAGAATAGAAAAATTGGAAGAAGATACTGGCTTTCAAGAAAATTGATGCTGAAGAAGTCTGTTTATAGATTATAAACAAAACCAGCACAAAAAAAAAAAATAGAATACTTCTAAAATTCAACCTAGACCTCTAGAAAACTTGTATTCAAATTTGGGACCTAGAGCTAACTAATGCAAGTTAGGAGTTAAGCAGGTTCAGTAAGCGCTTTAATTGTCAATCAGATAAATTGTGTGGTGTCTCATTATGGGAGTGTGGCAGTTGTATTTAACCACTTTAGTTTACATTCTTTTTTCACAGGTGAACTTCTTACTTCATGGTTTGTTTCAAAGAGAAGCCAATTTATTTTTTAGTTTTTTCTGTAGGTTGTTTTTTTTTAAAAACCCAAACCTCAAGTTAAAAATGCATATTCAAAAATTTAAATTCCCTTAACTGTTTATCATATAATATAACTGTGAAAATAAGATTGGCTTAAACAATACACTCCTAGTCTTATCTGACCATCAAGAAGTACCTAAGGGGTCAGTGATGTAAGAAGTCTTAATTAGGATCAATACATGAAGTGGGCAGACACAAAATGGAACAGAGTACTTGTGCCAGAAGGTTTTCTGTCAGCAAAGACATGCACCATAGGAAAGGAATGTGGAGAAAGGACTATAATCAAATGTGTACACTATTTTATATACACAGCTATAGATTTCCAATTGCTCTTTTTAGGGGGCCTTAAGTTAAAGCACTTTTGCTTTGTTTGATCAATTTGTATATATATATAAAAAAAAAAAGTTAAATTGCTCCTCTCCCTTGGGTTTCAGACTCAATTATTCAATACTCATTTTCTGAAAACTTCTGGAAGTTGAACTAAGGTCATGCCCCCCAGCTGTACCATGGGATATGACCCTATTCAGTTACTGTTGAAGGAGGGTTATAGAAAAGGAAGATTCATATTCTTGACATTACTGGGTATTGGGCCATAGCTCTCCAGGCTGCAAAAAATGGTCCATGTAGCAAAACCGGTTCTGAAAAATTCTAGATTTTAATTAACACATTCTTGTCTGGTCAGTGCATTTAGCTATGTTGTTTGCAGGGGTGCTAACCCAGGAAAAGAGCAGAAAAACTGCTAGCCCATCTGGAGCCAGAAGTTATTTGCTTAGTATGGTAGCTTTTGTTTTGAGTGTCTAGCAATTAAATGGATACTAGGTACTGTGTTTTGGGGGGCTATTTTATCTTGGGGATTTGTTGTTCAATTGGGGAACAACTACTTCCTATAAAGAAGTGTCACCTCTGGTTTGCATGGCTGGTTCTTTCTTAACAGCTCTGCACACTTACTTATTCTTCTTCCTCCTGGTAAGCAGACTTTTACTGGAAGATAATCTTTTCCTGTCTGAATACTGGAAAGCAAATGCTGGGGAGTTCTCATATTCCTCTGTGAGCTCACACGTGTTCAGCTTACCTATTCTCTTTTCTACTTTTTTTTCCCCCCTGTTCTGTGTGCCCTTCGGTCTTCGGCTTCCAGCTTCTGTTTTTGAGGGTTAGGTTTAGATTTCAAACAGAAGAGCGGGCATTTATGCCATAAGGCCCTTCCCAGAAGAGCAGAATGAGATCTTCCCCTGTATGGCTTTGGTACTGTAAGAGTGATGTTGTAGCTGTGATAGTTCAGAAATGATGCGAGAGGCAAGGGTTTCTTAAGGTGATATTTTTTAATGTACCAAATGTGTAGTTTGGATAGTGTGTCGTGACAAAGGATGTCTTGCATTCAAGAGCTTGTCCAGCTCGATGCCAACTACAGTCTTACAAAAGAAGTAACCCTAAGACATCCTTGCCCTTCTGTGGCTTTGGCTTTTAAGCACCAAACTCTGAACTTAGCTCTGACAAGAGAAAGAGTTGGAAAATCACAAGCTGGGGTAACTGAAGCTAAAGAAAAGCTTCTCTCACTCAGTGCCTGTTTTTATTTGTGCCCTTGTATCTTATCTGTATTTACATCATATTTTCTTCACAAATAATGCAAATTTGTATTTGCAGCCATTGTTATGGGTGTGAGAGGTACCATACTTAGTTTTGAGTAAGACAAGGTTTTTCCCTCCACTAAATGGGAGGGGAGGGGGAACAAGCCCCTAGTCTTAGACTAGGGTACAGGGGGGAGGGGGGGGCTGCTGTGGTGGCAGTTCTAGAGCCCTGGCCAGAGCTGCTACTTTCACCACTGCTACTGGGCTGGGACTAGAGCAGGCACATGCTTTGTGCCCTTGGCTGGAGAGGGGCCAGAGCCATGTTGGAGCCAGGGGTAAGCAGTGGGCAGTAAGGGGGCAGGCAGGGTGGTAAATGGGTGGGGTGGGGCACAGGCAGTGGGAAGGGCAGATGGGGGAGATGGGCAGCAGGGGAGCCAAGTAGAAGGATGGGCAGGAGACGGGGGGTGCAGGCATGGCGGGGGCAAGTAGTGGGGGAGTAGGAGGGGCCCATCATAGTGCCTCCCCTACGACCTGCCCTTTTTGCCACTGCTTTCCCTGAGGTAGTGGGAAGGGTGGGGGGGTGTATTGAAGATGACCCTCCAATAATTAGATTCTGTACATAGAAGATTTATGAATTCTCCATGCATAGAATCTAACGGGGGGGATGGATGGATGGACGGACAGGGGGTTACTTTATTTACAGTCATCTTGGAGTCGGGTAAATACTGAGTACAGGTACTCCTCACTCTTACGTTGTCCTGGTTAATGCTGTTTTGTTATTATGTTGCTGATCTTTTACAGTACATACTCGTTTGAAGTCTCGCAATGTTTGGTTTTAACGTTGTTTGGCCACCACCTGCTAGTTAGGTAACTACTGTGACGTAATTGTATTTGCTTAACATTGTTTCGCTTAACGCCACATTTGTTAAGAATGTAACTATGGCATTAAGCGAGGAGTAGCTGTATAGCTGATGTCATTGAACACATGATCTTGTAGTGACTTAATTTATTTCCTAAGGAAGTAAGGATGCATATCTCAGATCATCTTTCTCTTTTTTTAAGAAAACTCTAATTATAGGCAAGTAATGTGTCTATTTACTGTGTCTACTGGCTGATATGATGATCTTTCGTCTACGCTGATCTGAAGGCTTTAGCTGTGTAAAAACAAATCTGCACGCTATTGTCATCTGCAAAAATTGCGTCGTTTGACAAGTAGAGTTTTCCTTCGTTGACTTGCATAATTTCCACAATATTAATACAACTAAGCAAGGGGAAAACAGCACGTTTGCAAATTCTCTTAATTCTCAGCGTGTTTGCATTCATTCTCATCCTCTGCAACAACTCCACACTTGCATTATGAAGGTTACATTTCTGGGAATGTCAATCTTGTAATGGAATGTGCCGAGAATAGAGGGAGCATAAACTTGTTAATTGTTACTGTAGAGAATGCTTGGTTTTGAGTGGAGTGGGCATAACTTTTCAGAATAAACCATTCATCTGATTGGTTTAACCCTTGAAACATTTTGACTAATGAATAAACTTCTACAGTTACTGGTAGCACATCAAAGTGTTTGTGAACTAATTTCTTCCCATGAGTTGTATACAACAAATTCGCTTTTTGTTGTCCATTATATGGTTGGTTGCATGGTATTGTTTCTGCTCGTCAAGTGGTTGAATGATTTTTTTTTTTTTTTCTTTTTTTTCTTTTTTCTTTCTTTTTAAAGAAAGTGGTTTATAGCAAATAGTCTTGTTCACTTGCAAAGACAGGTATTCATATGGAGAGCAGCCACTCCCCAGCCATTTGTGCAAAGAAAAATTCATTAGTGAATGAGCAGGGGTATTAGCATGGAAGAAACCAGCAGCTGTCTGGCCATCTAATAAATGCTTGCAAGGGCTATTTGACAGTCTTTGTCTGTCTTGTGCCTCATTATTAATGAATTCGATATTTTTAATTAATTTGAGGGATAAGAAATGGAGTATTTGTAACTTTGTTTTTAGAGACGCTTGTAATACTGATAAACTAAAAAAAAATACCTGCAGTCTCTTTTGGAATGGGATTGCTTTAGGATCTTTATGATTTTTTTTTTTTTTAATATAGCCCTGCAGCTAATGTTATTTTCAGTTTTGTAAAGAAATGTAAGACTTGGCAAATTAATTTGGGCAGCATGCTTTCTGCCCACTGAAATGTATATTTCTATTAACTCATGGATAAGTAATTTACCATTTCCATTCAGATTTAAAGAAGTCGCATGGATGGTCTGCAGTCAAACTAATTGAAGAATTTCTAGGGGTTTTAATGCCTATGAAGTGTTTGATTAATAGCCCTGTAGGCTGCAATCTGTAGGCCAGGGAGTGGTGACAGTGTTAATTGCTGTGGCTCTCAGAGCCAGGGCTACTAGACTTTTGGACCCAAGGGGAGCCCCATGAGCCAGATGACCTAGCCACGTAGGCTAGATCTCTCAGGCCTGTGAACTGGATCCAGTGTAACAGTTACTTCAGTTCGTAATCATTATTGATTTAGGCTGTGCATACATAAACCTACATGTGGTAGTGCTGACCCTTTTGGGCCCAAAACAGATATTGTTTTTAATTTGCTTTGTCCCTCTCCATTTTCTTTTTCAGCATCATCTTTCTGTGATTGGAGGTACCTGACACGTGAACTTCCTCACATCAATGCACTGCCAATGGTAAGTACAGGTTTAACTAAGAGTAGTATGATGCTTTCCTCCAGAG